AATTCTCAATTCCCCTCCAAAATCTTTTATTCCCTCTAAATTTCCCAATTTCCCTCTAAATTCTTAATTTCCCTATATTCTCAAAATTTCTCAATTTTTCTCTAAATTCCCAAATAAAATCGAACAATTTCACACAAAAAATCTTTATTTTAATAAGTTTTCTCCCACTACACTTTGAATATATATATATATATATATATAATTCTATATACTTTTTATAGTTTATTCATATATAGTTATATATATAGTTCTTATAAACATAATATATATATAATTTTTAATAATTATATAGTTTATAATATAATATATAGTTTATATATAAACTTATATTATATATATATTTATATTATATTTTTTCAATTTTTAAATGAATGCAATTTATTATATTTTCATTATTTCTTCACATTTTGCATTTATTTTGATTTAATCCTTTTTTTAATTTATTTCAATTTTAAGTCTTTCACTTTTATATGTATTCAATTTAGTCCTTAAATTTATATTTGCATCTTTAATTGGCCCATTGTTAGTTGTTATTTATATTTTTGTAATTGGCCATAACTTTTTAAATGTGTTTAATTTAGTCCTTTTTATATTAATTTAAACCTCACATTTTAAATTTATTTCGATTTAGTCCCTTACCTATGTGTGTTGTTTAATTTATATTTTAAGATTTTATTTGTAATTTTACATTTCTTCAATTTTGTCCTTAAATTTATATTTTTTTACAAAATTGATCCATGAATATTTATTTTTCTCTTAATTTACACGAAATCGTATACAATTACAACTTGCAATTCAACAATCACGAAAGATGATAAAATAATTAATCCAAAAATAAAAATGACCCGACCTGAACTCAATCTGTATCTGGTAAACATCCGACCTGAATTTTATATGTCAATGATGCGACCCGATATGAACGAGATACGACTGAAGTCCACCCGAACCTGAATTAACCTGGTTTTTATCTGCTTCGGACCTTAACTGTTTTGACCTAAACTGACATCGATCCGAACTGAAAATGACCTGACCTGAACCCGATCTGGATCTGGTGTTAAATCAACCTGAAAATAACCCGAACTGATTTGACCTGACCTAAACCCGATCTGGATCTAGTGTTAAATCAACCTGAGTTGACCTGTACCCGATTTTACCCGACCTACCAAGATCCGACTAAAACCTGTCCGATTATCTGATTTTACAGCCTTATATATGATCTTATATGGGCTCTTAGACAATCAATAACTTAATTAAAAAGGTCCTAAATATGACCTTTTACGGAGTTATCACACCCCCAAACTTAAGCTATTTCTTGTCCTCAAGCAATGGATAGTATTAAGCAAAATAAAAATTCCATGGCAAGTTCAGAAGCAGAATAGTTATATGGGATAAAATTTCAACCCTCAAAACATTTGGCTTCAATATGCTAGACTAGTTTGAGAAATCAAGTACTGTTCCCTAGGGCAAAATTCTTTGTGTGAGTGTGTGCATGTTATTGTATCAAGTTCATGCTTAACAAACCTAAAAATTTTCTAAGCAAGCTCTCTTGTTTTGCCACGACATTTACAAGTTTTACTCCCACATTGTTTTCTTTTCTTTCATTAACAAACCTAAAAATTTGATGCCCACAAAAGATCTATTAAAGGGATAATGTAACCAAAAAGAGGGGAAAAGGTTTTATGATTGATCAACCACCTTACTTTAAAACTTACCATTTTGGGTAAATTACATGATTCATCATTCAATTACGTTCTCACTCCTATTTTATTCATCAAAATTTAATAATTTTCAATGTAATTACTGAACTTTTATATTACTCCTATTTTGACTGCTCTCGAATGATATAAATTATTTTTATTATAAAATTATATATCTTATTAACTTTTTTCTACATACAACAAATAAAAAATCTAAAATTTAAACTCAAAATCATACTTTCAAACTCTAAACCTCAAATCATATCCCCACTACCACCTTTAACACAGTTGGAACATGTGGGGACCATGGCTCCTAAAAAATTTGAAAATTTTAATTTTAAACCCTTAAAGTTTTTTTAAAAGAAATTTATTTGGTCGCACAAAATTTTTTGATATTTATTAAATATTCTCATTTAGTCTCTCTAATTTTCAAAAAATTTAGTTATACATCAATTTTTTTGAAAAAAAAAATTATAAACTGAACTCTTCAATTTTTTTTTAAATTTTAATTTAAACCTCTAATTTTTTTAAAATTTTAAATTAAAACCCTTAAACTCTACTATCAAATTCTATCACTGAAACCCGCCCTCACCGAAATCATACTGTAGACACTCATTTTCATCCGGGATTTATTTAGTACATATATAATAATATAATGTTGTTTTTGAAAATATTTTTTGAAAATACATTTTTAAAAACGTATAATATATATTTTTAAAAACAATTTTTGAAAACATATATATTATCTAGTTTTGAAAACACATTTTTTAAAACGTATAATATAGTTTCAAAAAAAATTTTTGAAATATATTATATAGTTTTGAAAAATAATTTTTGAAAACATATATAATATATATTTTTTGAAAACATATTATTAGTTTTTATTATATATTATATTAATATTTATTTAATTATTTATTATTATTATTATTGTTGTTTTTCAAATCTAAGAGTTCATTTAGTTTAGAGTGCAGCTCAACCGAGCAAGCATGTCTGATCCAGCAAGCCAGTCCTGTTGGGGGTAGGCATGATATATCCCAATAAGCCTAATAGTGGATTAGGGTTATGAAACCCTAAAATATCAAGGGCGTCGCACAGAGGGAACAAGCGGCTGGTGGCATCGTACGTGGCCAGCACAGTTTGAAAATCGGCTTGGATTTTTGCAAGGTCAGTGTAACAGCGTGCACAAACAACACTCGGTCGAACATCCAGCGAAAGAATTGGACAGAGATCCTGTCCCTTTTGGAGTTACAACGGTCGGGTTTTAGGCTATAAAAAGCCTCCGACCAAGCCATCAAAAGAGGAGATCGAACCACAAGATAGCAACACATAAACATATACAAGAGAAACCAAACCAAAAATCAAAGAATTAACAATCCCAAGCCATCTGACCTTAAAAACGTAAAATCAGCAAAAAAAGAAAACGCAAGAAAACTCAGGCGGAAATAACATTCAGATTTCACTAAAAAGTCGCAGAAAATCGAGGATTATACTAGATTTTGTTTGCCGAGAACACGCAAGAGCCTAGACGGAAAAGAGAGGTTGCCAGAACTCAAGAGATGTCGATTTTAAGGGTAAAAATCGAAACCTAAAGGTTTAGATCTACGCCGTTTGGGGTGATTTTGAGCGATTAGGGTTTAGCTTCGGCTTCAGGTGTTAAGGGAAATGTTTTGGGGGTAGTTTTAGGATTTTCGACCACCGGTGGTGGTGGTCGGAGCGGCGGGTGTAGGCCTCGTCGGAGGATGGCCGATTAGGAGAAGGTGAGAGATAGTTGAGAGAGTTTGGGGGTTTGATTTAGGGGAAGGGGTGAGAAATGAGAAATTTTGTTAATTTTGGAGTATTTATAAGGGAGGGTTACTTTGTAAATATAAAATAGTTAAATTATTTTCGCAGTCCCTGATACTTTGATATGTAATTCATTTTAGTCACCTATTATAAATTGGCCCTTGAATCTTGAATTATTTCGATTTAATCCTTGTTTATATTTTTTATATTTTGCAAATTAACACCCTAATTTTTGTTTTTTTTCTTGCAGCTCATTTTTTTACCATCAATTTGATCCATATATTTCAATTTACTCTAATGTGATCCTTTAAATTTTTATTTATTTATTAATTTATTTTTAATTTTAACATGTTCTTCATTTTTATTTTTAAACTTTTTTTTACTTTTTTATTTCTCTTTTAACATTTTTTATATTTTATATTTTTACTTCTTTTAGAATTTAATATTTTCTTCATTTAATTTAATTTAATTTAATTTAATTTTGTTTTGTTTTTATTTTATATTTTTCTTTTAACATGTTTTACTTTATTATTCTTTTTTATTTTTATTTTTTTCATTTTCTTAATCTAACCTTTTTTGTCTCTTTGGTTTACTTAATATTTATTTATTTATTTTTGTTTTACAATCTTACATTTGTTTTTGACTTTTTAGGGGCAATCTTAATCGATCAAAGGTAAGTGATTCAAATCGAATTTTAAATTTTAATTTGACTTTTAATTTTCGCCATTAAGACAACCGAGAAATTAAATTGGTACCGAAAGGGTAGTACAAGAGTGTTAATCTTTCCCTGACTGTAATCGACTTCCGAATCCGATTCAATTCTGGTAAAAATGTAGATCAGGTAAAATGGTAAATTAAGGTATCCCATCAACCTAATTTTAAATGATCGGTGGTGACTCCATCATATCGAAATTAAGTCGAAACCCGATTCCGGACCCACCCGAGGGACGGTTACGACACATACCCACACTACCACCTTCAACCAGTCCGTCCTCACCACGTCACCCACTTATCAGGTGCCCGTAATCACCGACGCGTATAGAGTTTTGATAGACATGAAAAATAAAATTAGGATAGACATGAAAATGTTCCAATTTCATGCTGGTGTTTCTTTCAGCCTTCATATAGAGTTTTGCTTTTGATTCTTTGTTTACGTAGTCTTTGATTAAACTGTGAGCACAGAATTATGCAAATGAATGGCTTCTGTATGATCTAGATTATGCTGGAAGATGTCCCAGTTTAGCATTGAACTTGTGAAATTTTGAACATTATAATGGAATGATAATCAAATAAATCGAAAAAGGATCATAACATTTATAACTCTTCTAAATGGCCAAATGGTTTTACATCTAAAACTCTACCTTTTTAAAATCTACGACGAAAAGATACCAATAGCATGAAGGTGTTGGAAAGAGTGAAACTAAAGGTTATTTTTTTATATATATATATATATATATATATATAGTTGCTTGCTTTTTGTTGGGTGGAAGAGACGGGGCAATGAGAGAGAGAACGACTGAAGAAGCATGCAATATGCAACTACACTGCATTTCAAATTCCAATCTCTGCAATGCTCATCAAGGCTGGCCTCCATTGCCCGCCACCACTACCACCGCCATGATGTCTGCCCATGTACCTACTGCTGCCGCTGCTTCCCGGTCTATTAACTTCCTGCTCCACCTTCGAAAGAGTAAAGGACAAATACACAGAGACAATGGCACCCATAAGACATTGACAATTCCATGAAACTTTTGTTTGTGGAGGTTCCATTATTTTTAGGGTAAAGTGTAGTAATGGTCACTGAACATTTCTGAAACTTGCATTTAGGTCCCCAACTTTTAAAACTTGCAATACAGTCCCCCAATATTTATTCCGTTTGCAATATGGTCCCCCAACTTAAATCACTGTTAGAAAATTAGGGTAAATTATATAAACGGTCATTGAACTTTTCAGGCACTTGAATTTAGGTCCCCAACTTTTAAAACTTACAAAACAATCCCCAATAATTTTATTTTCTTATTAAATATAGATGTATAGAAAATATAAATGATTCAATTTATATTTAAATGTATGAATCATTTATATTTTTGATATATTTTATTTTTCTTGTATAAACTAGTATTTAAAATATGTTTATATTTTAATCAAAATATTTCAATATACGAATAAAAATATATTTATATAAATGTATAATTATATTTAGATGTATAAATAAAAATATATTCATGTATGTATGAATATTTATATTGAATATTTTATTTTTAATAAGAAATTAAAATTATTAATTATATTAGAAATACTCAACTTAAGATATATATAATCATGAATTATAAATATGAAAAATATAATTATTAAATTTAGTTTAAAAATATATAAATCTTAAATTTATTCTTTTAAAATATTGTATCAACTAATATTTAAAAAATATATTAATTCTATCAAACAATTTATCAAATATAATATTTTTTATTGTAAAAAATATAATATTTTCCCATCATTTATTGCTTTCAAATTTTTTGCCGAAGTTCAAATCTCATTATTTCCATTTTCCATTATATTTTTTTTTCTGGCATTGGTCATACTATTAGTATATGTATTATTGTATATCTCTTAACACAAACGATGGTGTTAGCTTAGTGGCTCCACCCTGTATCTTTCATTTGCGTGACTCAGGTTTGAGTTTGCCCAAGACCCAAATTTTACTTCTTTGTAACTTAATTTTCTTCTAATTAGGTGGTGACATGTGTCACCAATAACATATATCATGATTATGTGTTAATACATGTCAGATCCTGGTTAAATGATTAATTTATTAAATTTTATTTAATTTAGGACCAAATTGATAGCATATATAAATAATTAGGTGGTGACATGTGTCACCAATGACACGTGTCATGATCATGTGCTAACACATGTCAGATCCTAATTAAATGATTAATTTATTAAATTCTATTTAATTTATGACCATATTGATTATATAAATAATAAATACTGAATGTATAATAATGTCAATTCCTTTTAACTGCCACTTCATCATTTGTATCAATTGGTAACAACTAGTGGCTTAGTTGAAACAGTTAAATAATTATGTTGTATGATTGATAAATTTAAAAGATCGATGACAAAAATAAAAAGGGCTAGATAGTTAAGTTGTCAACCTAGTAGTTTACACTTTTATTTATACGTCAAAATAACATTTTATAAATTTAAAATTCGAATTATTTTCAACCTCTTCTATATCCTAACTACTTTTTTTAATTAAAAAATTTCTTCAACAGATAAGAATTATACTATTATATTTATATAAAAAATACGTATCACATGAAATAAGATGAAATTAAATAATAATAAATCTGACATAATTGAATTTAATTGAATTATTTTGGAATTTAGGGTTTAGAATGAAATTGAATTACTTTGGAAATTGGGGTTTAGAATGAAATTGAGGACTGTTTTGCAAGTTTTAAAAGTTGGAGGACCTAAATTCAAGTGTTTGAAAAGTTCAATAACCTTTTATAAAATTTACCCTAATTTCTAAAGGTGGTTTAAGTTGGGGGACCATATTGCAAACGAATAAATGTTAGGGGACTGTATTATAAGTTTTAAAAGTTAAGGGACCTAAATGCAAGCTTCAGAAATGTTCAGTGACCATTACTATACTTTACCCTTATTTTTATTTGTATGAAAAGTTTGTGGGCTCTCCAAGTCGAATTTGAAACCAAGTTCTCCACTACATTTGGATCCTATTCATTTGCCAGCTTTGCAGTAGACTACACCGTACGAAGAAGACAAGATATTGGACTAAATTCTCATGGTTTAATTAATCAACCACCTACACCTAGTTGTCTAATTAGGCTTTTTGAAAGGCATACACGTGCACACCTTCACCACTAATCGCATACAAACAAAAAAAATAGTCCTTTCATGTTAACAACAATTTTAAAAATAAATTCCCCACTGAAAAAGCTAAAACTTTATTCATAAACCTAATCAATAACAATTATCTTTGTCACGTTGTTTAAGGAGATTATTTTTGAAACCTCAAAATAACTTATTTATACAAAAATAATCTTAAATAAATGTATTTTTAACTAAAATTAACGTTTCCAATGGGATTTTAGACTCAAATTCAAAAGCTGGGATTTTGAAGCTTTTGAGATTGAAAAGCTTTATTAGGTTGAAAATATTAATTTTAACCTTCATTAAATTAGTGGGTCGTACACTTATTCTATAAACAATGATTTTTTTCTCTCTCTCGCATCTTCTTCTTTACGGCGGAGAGGTTACTGTTCAAAATTTAATATATATATTTATATTATTGTAAATATATACATTTCTTAAATTTTAATATTTAAAAATAAATACATATTTAAACCGATATAAATATATTTTTATATATAAAAATATTATTAATAAGTTATCATAAAATATTTTTATATTTTTATTATATTTTAAATTGATATATTTCAAATATCATATTAATAATTATAAATAAAATTTAATTATTATATTTTTAATTTATAACATAATATTTAAAATAAATATTTTATCTTTTTAAAATTATTTTTTATAAACAGTTTCAAATACTTTTGAAAACTCACTTTTAAAAATACTTTTCTATATCAATTTTCAAAAACAATACCAAACCCTAAGTTGCCATGATGAACGGTGATTAAGTTGAGATTCTTCTTTGTATCCAGACGATAACATTTTTTTTAACTTATCAACTCATAAAGATGAAAGAGAAAACATAATAACTACAGAAATTACAAACTTTACTTTTTCATATCATGAAAGTTCGCTTTTTCTGCATCGAAATGACAAACCCCAAACCGTCCGTCTGCAGGAGAGAGAAGACTTGATGCAAATGGTGACACAGTTAGTGTTATGATTTTAATTAAATGTCTTGAAATTCGAGACCCAAATTAATATTACTCGTTTCAGAAGCTTGGCTCATCAAGTTTTTGTTATTTTTCAGGAAACTTGAAAGAGTAATTCACGCATAGACAGTGTTGTAAGGCTTTAAGCTTAGTTTAATTACCTGAACATCACTGCTGTGGTCAGATTTGGAGTTAAGTTTTGGGTTCATACTGGAAGCATATGTGGGCAAAACCTTTCTGTTCAACTCCATCCCAAGTCCAAGCCCTCCGTTTTCTTTCAACAGTTTCCCGAGTTTCACGCACTTCTTTGCTGCAAATTCTTTCAAAACATCTGCTCAAAAGAAGCTCCAATATCAAAGGAACAAGAAAAAGAAACAATCCTTAGCAAGCTATGCATGCAAGGGATTAAGCAATGAAAAATAACCTTCGAAGCTGACGAGCCAGTAAACATGGCCGATTAACAAAGTATCATTCGGTTTCAAGAGCTTGAGCTGCTTCACCGGCGTACCATTTTCGTTTTTTAAAGTGGGCGAGGTGACCACGAGTGCAACGTAATGACCCGGATTCGAACCCATGATTTCATTAGCACTAACCGACCAGTAAACCCTCTCGATCTTGTTCCCTGGGTGTTGAATCACCACGGTGGCTGCCTCAGCAGCTTGACAGTTCCCCATACGATCTTTTCTTATACAGTAAAACTTAAAAAACTAGAACAAGTGTGGAAAACAAACGATGAACATATGTTGTTTTTATGGAGCACTGTGAGACTGACTTAAAAGAGGAGTTTTACAGCATGAGAAAGAAAAACGTAAAGGAGTTAAAGGGATAACTTGAAGGGGAAACAAGGAACTGTAAAGTCAAGTTTGGGGAAATTGAAGGCAAAGGATGAATTGGGTCTTTGGTGGCTTATATCAGCAACCGACTGATGATGCGTAAATTGGGTCTTATACTTGACATGTTTGTTGCAGATTCTGACCAAAATACAAGCTTATTAAAAATGAATTAATTGCATCCACATTTTCAAAAGTGGGGGGAAGACGTGTTAGATATGCAAATACCACCTGGGTATGGAGAATTGGGTAGCCTATGCCTAGTAGGATCGCATTTTTATTTTGCAATTCAATGAGCTGATGCAACAAGCTTTGCCTTGCATTTCTTTTCATTAGTAAAGGACCACCCACTGGTCCCCTATGCGCCTATTGCCTAAGGAAGTAGAGTGATGCACTACACTTTGACTAATGCATATTCTCTCATTCTAGGAATGGGAGTAATATTGTATTTTGATTAATTGAGGTAAAAATAAGATAATTTATGTTTAAAGATAATTTTTAATTTTATAATATTTAAATATTCACATTTTTAACATTTACCGAACCAAAATCTTTTAGAAAATTAATAATTTATTTATCACGAAAACCACATGGTTTGGGCGGGAGTAATATTGTCTAAATGCAAAAAAACATGCATTACTCTTTTATAATTTATACCTATTTGTAATTATTTTTAATAATATCATCTTTTAAACATAATTTTTCATATTAGTGATACAATATATTTTATAATTGCATCCAACATATATAGATATATGTTTATATTAAGTTAAATATACATTTTGATATATGAATTTGACTTCGAAATTTAATTGGGTATCTATTTTTTTCTTTTAATTAGATTATGAAATTTGACTTTAAAATTTAATTTAATGTCTAAAATGTTTTAGTCTAATTAAATATTAAATTTAACTTTTCAGTACAAATTGATATTTAAACCTGATTTTTTAATTTAAATTAAGAGTTAATTGTATCATATGTCCGCAAACCCTTATTTTAAATTGATATATAAACTTTTAAATATTTTAAATTTATCCTTAAATTAAGACTATCATTCTAAATTAGTCCTTAAACTTTTAAAAATTTCAATTTCATCCCCAAACTATATCTTCCTTCTAAATTGGTCCCCAAACTTTTTGAACAGTCCAATTTCATCCCAAAGTATACATATATATTAATCACATCCCTTGTTAATAAAATCGTTAGGCCAAATTATATTATTACATGTTTGAAACTAATTTAGGTTAAATTATAGTTGAAACTAATTACACATTTGGATGGATTTGGGGATGAAATTGGGATGTTCAAAAAGTTTGGTGACCAATTTAGAAAGAGGGTTATAATTTAGGGATGAAATTGAAATGTTCAAAAGTTTAAGGACTAATTTAGAATGAGGTTCAAAGTTTGGGGATGAAATTAGAATATTCAAAAGTTTAAGAACCAATTTAAAATGAGGGTTATATTTTGAGAATATATGATGCAATTAACTCTTAAATTAATTAAAAAAAATGTACTAAAAGCCATGTTCGTATATTATTTTAGACTAATAACTTAAGTTCAAGTACTTAATGATGGAACAATAAATAGATATCAAATTAAATTTTAAATTTTAAAAATATTTAATTAAAAAAATTAGATATTAAAATCAAATTTAATACCAAATTCAATATTCTATATATTTGTTTGTATTCAAAGATTTTTATGTATATATGGGTAAATACAAGACAGTATTTGATCAAAGACTCTCAACTAATTGACTATAAATGCTTATATATTTATTGATGTTTGAACCCGTGAACTCCTAAAAAATAATGAGTCTTTTAATCACTTACGTTAATTTGTTCGTGTCAAATTTGACTTTCTAAATGCCATAAGTAGCTCTCTTTTTTAAAGTTTCAAAAAGTAGAAAATCTTAAAGTGGAATAGATTAAGTGATTAAGAAGCTAAATTTACATCAAAATCCTTAGAAAGGAAACTGAAAATGTCATTATGGGCATAGCTGTACAGATATATATGACAACGATCTTTTACTCTTTTATTATAAAGCTTGGGCGTGTGAAAATTATGGAAAACTCTCACCTTTTTAGAAAGTATTTCATTCATAATCATACAATTTTATGTTTCACAAACAAAGAGTAACAAGTAATTAATACATAAAATACCAATAAAGAAATATTTAAAAATCTAAATTACTTTAAAAATATGGAATATGTAACAAACTTTTGCTAATCTTGTTATCATTAATAAATTAAACAATTTTATGACCAACATTTTAAAAACAAAATTATTTTTGACAACTGCACTGGGCCTTGTTTTCACCTCTTTAAGAACTTTAATGGTATGTTTGGTTTTGCTGAAATGAGATTAAAAAAAGAACATGTAGTGGGAATAGAATAGATATTTAATATGTATTCATTAGTTTGGTTGGTTGGAATGCAATGAAAGAGTGATAGAAACATTGTTGGTTGGGTAAGATGATGTTAAGGAATATGCAAGGATAAGTTTAAATGATAATTTCACTCTTAAATAAATTAATATTTCATATTACGAATGACTCACTTCATAGCAATCATACTATCGCCGAAACGAACGATTTTATCAACGATCGCTTTAACCTAACCCTCCAAAGGTCGCTTTTTGTATAGAGCGTCTTTTATTATATGAAATAATCTTACGTCGAGTTGTCCTCCCCCATCAAAACCTCCTCTATAAACCTTTTGCTCTTGTCTAAAAGATTATTGTGCTCTATAAATTCACTATTAAAAAGCTGAGTTTCGAAGCTTCCGTAGATTCCAACAAACAACTGGAAAAAAACACACATCTCAGTTTCTAATATTGATAGCATGACAACCATTGATGCACAAATTGTTGAAAAGTCATCATCAAGTGGCCAAAATTGGTGGCCTAATTTTCCACCGAAAGGTGATTTGAAAATTAGAAATAATAATTCACCTAAAATGTTGAAAAAAAAGTGGAATGGAAAAAATTAATTTTAGTCATTAGACTTTAGGGTATTTATAAGATTAGTCCTTAAGCTTTAACTATAAATACCTTAGCTCATTTAGCTTCAAAACCATCCCAAAGCATTCTAGCTTTCTTCCAATACTAGAGAATTTAGAGAGTTTCTTTAGAGTTGTTTTCTCCTTTTTATCAAGATTATCATTGTTTTCTCCTTGTTAGATCGAGAGAAGTTGTAATTCCTATTTTCTCATAGTGAAATTATTCTACCATTGCCCGTGGTTTTTATCCTATATTATTTAGGGGGTTTTCACGTAAATTTTGTGTATTCTTTATCTTTATTTTTTATTTTCTCAAATTATCAGTTGCGATTTTGCTCTATCCGATAGCCGTCTTCCGCAACAATTAGTATCAGAGCCAGATTTGAGTGTGTAATATCTGCTTATTGTCTTTTTGGTTACCACCAAAAGGTGAATCCTCCAACATAAGAAAGTAAGAAGGTATACCCATTCTTTGAAGGTTCCAGAGAACTATTCACGATAGTGAAATAGTGGGAGCTATCCGAAATAGAAGTTATGGCAACAAAATTTGATATTGAAAAGTTCAATGGAGAAATATCTCATTGTGGAAATTAAAGATGAAGGTCATCCTGAGGAAAGACGGGTGTCTACCGGCTATCAGTGAAAGGTCGGTGGATTTCGCAGATGACAGTAAATGGAACGAGATAGACGAGAATGCTATGGCAAACTTTCATCTAGCATTAGCAGATGAAGTATTGTCAAGCATCGAGGAAAAAAAGACAACTAAGGAGATATGAGATCATCTCACCAAATTGTACAAGGCCACATCGTTGCACAATAAAATTTCCTTAAAAGGAAATTGTACACTCTCCAGATGCCAGAATCTACTTCAGTGACGGAGCACTTAAACACACTGAACACGTTATTTTCTCAACTTACATCCTTAAGATGTACAATAGAAGAACAAGAACGTGCTGAACTTCTACTTCAAAGTTTACCTGATTCGTATGATCAACTCATCATCAACTTGACAAACAATAATGTCACCAGTCTAGTCTTCGATGACGTTGCAGCTGATGTTCTCCAAGAAGAAAATCGACACAAAAACAAGGAAGACAGACAAGTAAATTTGCAACAAGTAGAAGCGTTGACAACGATGAGAGGGAGATCAACAGAACGTGGCCAAATCAACAATCACAAACATGGTAGATCGAAGTCGAGAAGCAAGAAGAATTTAAAGTGCTATAATTGTGGAAAGAAATGACACTTGAAGAAGGATTGTTGGAGTCTAAATAAAAACTCCAATCCACAAGGCAATACCATAAATACTTCAGATGATGGAGATGCTCTATGTTATGAAGCGTCAACCACTGTAGAAGGCAGAAAAAGATATGCAGATATATGGCTCATTGATTCAGGAGCAACATATCACATGACCTCAAGAAGAGAATGGTTCCATCATTATGAACCTGTCTCAGGAGGATCTGTGTATAGTTGTAATGATCATGCCTTAGAGATCATTGGCGTGGGAACCATCAAATTGAAGATGTATGATGGAACAATTAAAGTTGTTCGAGATGTGCGGCACGTAAAAGGCCTGAAGAAAAATTTATTATCCTACGGATTGTTGGATAATAATGCAAGAAAGATTGAAACACAGAAAGGAATCATGAAGGCGTTTCGTGGAGCGCTTGTGGTACTGAAAGGCAAAAAGATAGCAGCAAATTTGTACATGCTGAAGGGAGAGACTTTGCTAGAAGCAGAAGCCTCTGTTGCCTCATGTAGTTCAGATTCTGCAATGCTATGGCATCAGAAACTTGGACACATGTCAGAACAAGGAATGAAAGTCCTTGTGGAGCAAAAACTACTTCCAGGCTTAACAAAGGTATCACTTCCTTTGTGTGAGCATTGCATAACAAGTAAGCAACACCGGTTGAAATTCAACACATCAAATTCTAAAGGCAAAAGTGTTCTAGAATTGGTTCACTCTGACGTATAGCAAGCACCGGTTATATCCCTAAGCGGAGCAAAAATACTTTGTCTCATTTATTGATGATTACTCCAGGAG